GGCAACTGGCTGAGTCAGTGGGATCGTCGGTTCGAATCCTACTGAAAGAAGTCTGATGAGAAAATGTGGTGATTTCCGAAATAGCTATCACTTCTACCATTTTTTCAAATTATTGTTGCTTTTCCACAATAAGTTTTCATTAAAAAAAAGCTCAATAAAAAATTGGTTGAATATATTAAATATCTTTTGCTGCATTGTCATAATATCGAGCCAAATGGACTACTGATACACTAGAATAGAGCGTCTGTATGGTTAAATTACGATTTCGCTTATATTATCCATATTTATGTGTTTTAATTTATTTAACAAATCATTTAGTCTTAAGCAGGGATCACACGATTTGTACATTTGTACATTTGGCAGTGACAGAGTGGTGTTGTCTAGAAATTTTTATCGAGAATGAGAGCAGCTCAGTAAAAGCTTTCCAAATAACTCCACTCTGTACCGGAGAAAATAGCCAAATCTGTACAAATGTACAAATCGTGTGATCCCTGCTTTATAGGAAATTGCCTTGTTTTACTGTCTTTACTTGTTTATAAGTTACAATATATGTCCAACCTGTGTGGAGCTGCCGATACAAACATATATTCAGGCTTATAAGCCTTTAATTAAACATTTTTCTTAATTTAATTTGAAATAGTATGCACAAACGGATTAATAGTAAATAATTAGTACCTTTTCTACTACTTAAAAATGCGTGACCGGAATAGACCTGCCGAAAAAGTGAGGTTAAGTTACTGACAACACCTTGTTATTATTACACCATGGGTTCTACCTTGTTATGTTTTTATCATGAGAAAATGTACCCAAAATTCAGTAGGAAATGAAAAAATGCTCATTGAAAATAGTTCAAATGGAAACAAAGGGAAAAGTTAGAAAAAATAGCAATGCGGTTTGAAGGAAACATTCTTTGATTTCGAATTGAAAATACATTACGATCATATTGTACCGAAATAAGTGCGGTCGCTAGTCTTTCCATTGCACCACAACTTATTGGTCAGAGCGATTAAGCTGATGTAATGTGCGCACCTCCATACATCTTCATGTACATATTTCAAGCGAGCCCTATCATTTAAATAGGCGGCCGTTAAAATCTGTGGTGTGCGGTGGCTCTTATAGCTGTGTCCTTACATCCATTCCGTGTGTTGCAATATCCACGAAAGCACCAGTTAATTTTTTAAGAAGAAAATTATTACAAAATATTCGAAAATTTCTCTACTTATATGTTTGGCTTTTCTTTGTTTTATTTTTCCAACGTCAAAAGCTGGATTTTTTTTTTTTTTGAAAAGTTGGTACAACAAAAAATACCAAGGCGAATTTATATAAGGTGATAGCAGGAGTACAAAAACAAAAACTTACATGTATTTTGTTTTTGCTTTGGCGGCATAGTCTGTCAAAATCTGTAAGAGTGTGTGTGGAAATTCAAACAAAATTTTTCAATTTGACATAAGAAGCCGTGAGGCGAAACACATACACAAAATCAGCTGATCTAGTAACACCACCTTATATAAATTCGCCTTGAAAAATACGAAACACGTTTTCTGTCAGATAGCTAACATGGCGGATAAGAAGTGAAACTACCTTCTAAAAATTATTTTATCATGGGGAGAAGTATACATGCCTTCTATAATTTTGACTTATATGTATATTTGGCAAGTATTTGTGTAAACAAAAAAAAATACACATTTTCATTTCTTTGCTAGCTTGGAAAATATTGTAACTTTACATGTCATATGACAACTCTGTATATATGTATATGTATATTGATACTTGGCAGCACAGTTAAATATATCGAGCTGTCATTATTCATTCTTTTTATAATTATTCATTCTGTAGAATCATCGTTCATACAACTTAAATTAAATGAAATATAATTATCTGAATTGAACAACCTGTGTAACACTTCTTCCAATTAAACCACAACAATTCTGGCGACGAGGTGAACTATCGGCATACAACAATTCTGGAAATAAAATGGATGCAAAGCAGTTCGCAGACTTCATGGCGATCCAGCGGCAAATTCTGGAAAAAGTGTCCACCAACACGGCAGCAGGAACGGGTGGGGTTACAAACCTTAATCTTAGTTCCAATACAGCACTAGTGCCGAATTTCGAACCATTTGACGCCGCAAAGGAATCGTTCCGTAATTACAGACTACGTTTCGAAAACTACACTAAAATGAAGAACGTGCACACGAACAACAAATATTGTGCAAACCTTCTACTCAACTCAATTGGCGCCAAAAGTTTTAACATTGCTATGACCTTGGCTTGTCCTAAAAGTCCGAGTGAACTTGAATATAGTGAACTGGTCACACTTCTACAAGCGCACTTATCACCGCAACAGAACGTTCTAGTCGCGCAACATAAATTTTTATCGAAATATCAAGCGGAAAGTCAATCAATAGCTGAATACGTAGCAGCTTTACGAACGGACATTGGAGATTGCGACTTCACATGTTCATGCAAAAAACCGGTAGCAGATATTTTTCTTCGAGCCCAGTTCGAGAGCAACTATTACAAAGCCAAAAAGAGGTAACCGCGTTTACAGACATCGTCGAAAAGGCACGTGCATTAGAAGCAGCTAAAACCGATTCAAAAGAGCTCTCACAAAAACCGAATCATTCAACAACAGGCGAAATCAACAAAGTAAATGGTAAGGAAGAAAAACACAGGTATCAAAATAACGTTAACCGGTCATCAAATCAGAACAAATCGAACAAAAATAAACAAAGTATTGATTATAAATCATTGGGTATTGATGGGCTGTGCTTAAGGTGCGGCAAAAATGACCATTATGCAAAAAATTGCGTTAGCAAACGCAATAACCTCAAATGTTCTGAATGTGGGAAAACTGGCCATGTGGCCAAAGCTTGCATAAAGGCACGTATGAATAATAAGCAAAGTAGGGAAACAGCAAACCAAATTGACAAGTGTCACAATGGGATTCTATCGATTACAAAGATCCAAGATATTTATCAAACAAATTCAAGAATATCAGATAGATTTTTCGTCACAGTTAGTATCGAAGGCAGACCTGTACAATTTGAAATCGATACCGGGTCTGGCTATACATTTTTACCCAGAGACATATTTGCGAATCTAAACATTAATGTTCCGCTATTGTCATCAAACATAGCATTTCGATCATACACAAAAAACGTTTTCGTTCCCAAAGGGAAAATTTTGGTACAAGGAGAGCATAAAGGTAATGCGATAACAGATGAAATATATATCGTGCCAGAAGAGTATACAGCGCTCCTAGGGCGTAATTGGATTAGGAAGCTCAACATAAATTTGAACGAAATCAACTCTGTACATTTAACAAATCCTTCAAGCGATATAGATATTATCAAATTATTGAGCGATCAATTTAAATCAATCTTTGAAAGCAAAGTTGGTTGCGTCAAACAATACACAGTGTCGCTTAAGTTAAGGGATGGGGCAAAGCCTATTTTTAATCGTGACCGTGAGGTTCCATATGCCTTAATTCAGAAAGTTAATCAAGAGCTTGACGAGTTAGAAATGGCGGGAATAATTTCAAAAACTGAGATTATCGATTGGGGATCCCCCTTGGTAGTTATACCAAAGGTGGGCGGAGGTGTACGCTTATGTGTCGACTATAAAGTAGGAGTAAATGAACGTCTAGTGGACGCACATAGTCCGATAAGGAAAACAGAAGACATATTCAATTGCTTACGTGATTCAATGTATTTTTGTAGGCTAGACCTATACAAAGCTTATTTACATATACCAGTCGATGAAGATTCGAGCATAGTACAAACGATATCTACACACCGCGGCACATACAAGGTGAATCGTTTATCCTTCGGTATTAAGACGGCACCATCCGAGTTCAACCGAATACTTAATCAAATACTCCACGACGTCCCAAAAACAGAAGCATACTTCGACGACATTATAGTTCACGGGGCAACAAAACTAGAATGTAGAGAAAACTTATACAAGTGTATACATCAACTACAGAGTTTTGACCTTCACCTTAACAAAGACAAATGTAGTTTTTTTCAAGAAGAAATTGAGTTTCTTGCATAATCAAATTTCAAAATCAAAAAACAAAATAGCAGCAATCGTAGATTTACCTAAGCCAAAGTCGGTTAATGACGTCAGACGATTTCTTGGAATGGTTACTACGCGCGTTTTATTCCAAACTGTTCAACAATCACATCTCCACTGCGTAGTCTAACCAAGAAGGGTGTAAAATTCAATTGGTCGAGACAATGCGATAAAGCGTTCGATATTATCAAAAAGGAAATAGCAAGCGATCGTGTACTCGTACCGTACAATCTAGCGCATCAGCTCCAATTAGCGTGCGATGCCAGTCCAACTGGAGTCGCAGGGGTATTATCTCATATAATAGACGGTCAGGAACGACCAATTTCGTTCGCTTCTAGATCTCTTACAAAATCCGAGCAAAATTACTCACAACCGAGAAGCATTAGCAATCGTATTCTCAGTCGATCATTTTTATCAATATTTGTTTGGAAGGCAATTTATTCTTGTTACAGATAATCAACCATTAGTACGAATTTTCAATCAAAATGCGGAACTACCACAAATGAGTTTTTCGCGCCTTCAAAGGTATGCAGTTTTTCTTTCCGGTTTTGACTATCGAGTCGTTTACAAACGAGGGATAGATAACGCTAACGCCGACTGCCTGTCTCGAGCTCCAGTATGTTCGCCACATCTAGCGGACACCATTATCAACAATGAAATCAACCAACTCTGTGAATCGACTATACAACAAATTTCAACGCTAAAACTAAATCATAATACTCTCAAATTAGAAACTGAAAAAGATAGCGAACTCTCCGCACTATTGCAAAATCTCAAAAACAAGCGGATAGAAAATACAATGTTTACAATCAACAATGGTATCATATTTAGGGGTCAACGCGTCGTAATACCTGCAATCTTACAACGATTGGTACTAAAAGAGCTTCACCTTACACACATGGGTATTTCAAAAATGAAACAACTAGCTCGCAGGTACGTGTATTGGAAATCAATTGATAAGGACATCGAACAACTAGTCAAAGAATGTGTCGCATGTTCAACGGTTGGGGCCTGCCCTCCAAAAGTCAAATTACACACATGGGAGGAACCAGAACAAAACTGGCAGAGGATCCACATCGATTATGCAGGGCCTTTTCAAGGATATCATTATTTGGTCGTGATAGACGCAAAGTCTAAATGGGCTGAAATTGGGCTGACAAATATAGCACCAACATCCAGTATAACAATTGAAATGCTAAGTGACGTATATGCAAGACATGGGTATCCGGATGTAATTGTATCCGACAACACCACAATATTCACTAGCGACGAATTCAAGCTGTTTTGCTCAAGTCATGGCGTCTTCCAAAAGTTCATTGCACCAGGCCATCCAGCTACGAACGGGCTAGCCGAACGCAATATTCAAACGTTGAAACAACGTCTTAAATGTATGACAGACGACCCTCGTCCTATGCGAAAAAAGTTAAGAGAAATACTTTTCCGCTACAGGTCAACGCCCGTGAAGTGTGGAAATACTCCAGCAGAACTGTATCTGGGAAGACAGATACGAATTCAATTTGACACACTCAAACCACCTAAAGTGGATAGCCAACGTACCGTTCAAAGACATGACGTTCGTCAATTAAAGGAGGGAGAGAGAGTACAAACCCGTTATTACATCAACAATAAAAAGTCATGGAAATTCGGTACAATCATCAAAAAGTTGGGTCACCTTCATTACATGATCAAATTAGACGATGGATATATTCTCAAGCGCCACATAAATCAATTGCGCGCAACAAGAGTTCCATCACATACTCCAACAGCGAGTTCGACTAACACGTCATCACAAGATTGTGAACCAGATAGTTGTTCCCCAAATTTACAGGACCTCGTACAGGTTCCAACGAATACAGAGAATCGTCCAAGGTTATCTGACAGCGAAGGACACAACACTCCGGTAACAACAACACCCCGGAGATCCGAACGGCAGCGTCGGGCACCAGTATACTTGAATGACTACCGACGTAATACTTAAGCAGGGGAGAACTATTGTAACTTTACATGTCATATGGTAACTCTGTATATATGTATATGTATATTGATACTTGGCAGCACAGTTAAATATATCGAGCTGTCATTATTCATTCTTTTTATAATTATTCATTCTGTAGAATCATCGTTCATACAACTTAAATTAAATGAAATATAATTATCTGAATTGAACAACCTGTGTAACACTTCTTCCAATTAAACCACAACAGAAAATATAGGCTTATTTTTACTTAAATGTGATATAAAGCTCATTAAAATGTTCTGTAATGTCTTGTTTTAAGTTTGCTATCATAGTTCTTTGTATTTTTATTGTCCACTAAACGTGTCCACCATAGACCAGGTATTCACAATACGCCAAATCTTGGAAAAGACCTGCGAGAAAAGGATCGACACTCACCACCTATTTGTCGACTTTAAAGCCGCTTTTGACAGCACTAAAAGGAGTTGCCTATACGCCGCTATGTCTCAAAACTCATACGGCTGTGTAAAATGACGTTGAGCAATACCACCAGCTGCGTCAGAATTGGGAAAGACCTCTCCGAGCCGTTCGCCACAAAACGGGGTTTCAGACAGGGCGACTCCCTTTCATGTGACTTCTTTACTCTGATGTTGGAGAAGATAATAAGAGCTGCAAAACTGAACCGCTCAGGAACAAGAGCGTGCCATTGCTGGCTTATGCCGATGACATCGACATCATCGGTAACAAAAACCGCGAAGTCTGTTCTGCATTTTCCAAGTTGGATAGGGAAGCAAAGCGAATGGGTCTGGTGGTAAACGAGGACAAGACGAAGTATTTCCTGTCACCAAACAAACAGTCAGCACATTCGCGCCTTGGCACCCACGTCACTGTTGACAGTTACAATTTCGAGAAAGTAGAGAATTTCGTTTACTTGGGAACCAGCATTAACACCGATAATAATGTCAGCATTGAAATCCAAAGTAGAATCACTCTTGCCAACAAGTGCTACTTTGGACTGAGTAGGCAATTCAGGAGTAAAGTCCTCTCTCGACGTACGAAAACCACGCTCGATAAGTCACTCATCATGCCCGTGCTGGTATATGGCGCAGAAGCATGGATAATGACAACATCCGATGAGGCGGCTCTTGGAGTGTTTGAGAGAAAGATTTTGCGGAAGATTTACGGGCCTTTACGCGTTGGCGACGGCGAGTACCGCAGACGATGGAATGATGAGCTGTATGAGCTTTACACTGAAAGTATTCAACTCGGAACCCGCTGGTGGTAGCAGAGGAAGAGGGAGACCCCCACTGCGATGGAAAGATCAGGTGGAGAAGGACTTGGCTTCACTTGGCGTTTCCAATTGGCGTCAGTGGGCACAGAGGAGAAACAACTGGCGTGCTTTGCTGAACTCGGCCAAAATCGCTTAGGCGGTCAAAAAAGAAGAAGAGAAGAAACGTGAGTGGCTTCTATTTAAAAAGTTCTATTACAAAGAATTTCTTTGTTTTGAATTTGTTTGTTTATTGTTTTTAATTTTTAAAATTCATACTTTTGACATGTATGTGAATGGCGGAGTTGCCGCTTTCTTCCTTTTCGGTGGGTTTTTATATTAAAAAGGCATCAAAATCGGAAAAAACCTCCTTGAGAGAGATACATCTGTTAAACTTTTTATGGGAAGATGTATGAAAATCCAACTTGCTTTAATTTCATATGCTTAACAGTTTCACAACAGTATGTTTACAGTATCTCCCCATAATTTTTTATATGAAAAAATGTATTATATGCATCCCACTCGATATCAATGAATTCCTCATTGGAACATGTAGTCCCTCTATTTTAGCGTGTCAACAGTTCATATGGCTTCATGCCATGTAAATGCACCATTAGGTATACAAAAATGTCTATCAGGCATTCTTTTGTCTAATTTGTCTTTCTGACATCTTTATTAATTTTCACCTTACTGATAAAGTTAGGGATACGATTATACTTGTCATATTTTGTGCATATTACACTTATTTTTGTTCAACGGAAAGCTTAACTAAAAGCTGTTAAGACATTCTTCTAGGATTTCGAATTTATTTTTAGTTATAACGGCTTCCAGCTAGCGGGCGATAGATATGTTTCTATATTGTTGCGAATAAAGATTATTTTAGACTTATGTGAACACTTTAAACATTAATTTATGATTTAGATATAATTACATGCAAAGCACAAACCTTTTTTAAATATCTTAACAGTCTAGGATCAGTAGTATTCGTCCGTAAAAGCAAATCTAAGTCATCCGGTTTATTAACAACCACTTTGGGTATATCAATTTCTTTAAGCTGCAAAAATGAAAAAATAAATAAAGTAAAAATATAATATATCGGAATATTTTCTCACCATATAAGTTATTCCCACACCGCAGCCATCAATTTCAGTAGCTGGTTTATGATCTCTAAATTTGTTATTAATTTCAATTGGACTTGCAATTTCACTTGATATTGGTGACAACGGAGTGTTTGCAATTGTTACAATTAAATCCGCGTCATAGGAATCGTAATAATCTTCAGCTTTTGCTCCTAATTTCGAGTCAAACTCAATGCGTCGTTGTGCAGACAAACGAGATCTTGAATCTTCAACTTTTTCTAAGGGGGGGAACTATATTAACGAATTGTAGATCATTTCGTACATACATGTCGCACACTGTCTTCATCAGAGTCACAACTCAAAATTTGGCATTTTTGGGATTATGCGCTAAAAATGTACACTGAGCTTTTATTACCTCTCAGCAAAAGCTGGAGCAAATTTTTGTTATAATTTGATAAAAACAAAAACCTAAGGTAAAGTCGCCCTTGCCCATATTATTATCATGTGCTAAGAAATAGTCTTTCGCATTTTCCGACAAACATTTTTAGTTGTGACTCTTTTGAAGACGGTGTGCGATATGTATGTATGTATGTATATGGCCCGTTTCACTAGAATAAGTCCATTTTGTTTCCCTCACAGGCTAACCTAATATTCACGAACGCCGCCAATTTACTGTCAAAAATTGTTCATGCAAATACAACTTGTATGGGACCAACCGAAACTGAACGGCGTGCGTATGAAGCTAACAATTTCCAATTTTTATTCTGCGTGGCATTTTGATTTGCCGTTTTGCTCAATGAAATCAAATGCAAACGTACGCAAGCCAATTTCGGGTGACACAAAAAAAAAAAACTTCGACGGCGTGCGTACCAAATCGTACCATTTCATTTAATATTTTTAATCCAACTTTCGGTAATTATCTTGCAATTAATTATTTTGATAGTAGTTGTTTGTTTGGTAAACATAATGATATGCTTTGTCAGAAGATGAGGTTGTTTGAGTCAAATACCCACGATGCAATAACACTGTAAGGAAAATCTTAAGTTTTGATATGACACAAGAAAACGGCGAAACATGTAAGCTTAAGATTTTGTCGTAGATTACACGGGCCAACAAAATTTAAACAATGTTATGTTGACTAAAATATTATCGCCGATTCTTATACGATTTTTCTCCTATAATCCGAATCTGACCACGAAGATATTAGATTGACTCTAGTTTTCGAGCAACTTAGGTTCAAATCGCAGCTCACAACGTCCGGATATTTATATATCCTCTGGGTAGCAACCAAAAACCCGTTTGGGAGCGAACTAAAGTGAGAAGGGGTAAAACTTCGCGGGCGCTGGGTGTGGGTCCTGCCACGCTAAAACCACGCCCAATGAAAAATTCCAAGATATTAGATTGGATCTAGTTTTCGAGCAACTTAGGATTAAAGGTGCCTAAAAACGCGTTTTTAGAAATTTTTGAGCCTCTGTAAAACAATAAATTGATGCAACATATATATCTGTGTCGGAGGATATGAAAGCCTAAACATTGCCCTTTAATCCTGAAAACAAGTTAACGGTCTTTATCCACATACTGCAGAAATTCCTGTACCAATCTTTGAAGTACAACTCGAGGTTTCATGAATTAATCACCAAATACCGATGGGCACTGACTCTAGCAGTGGAAATGAAGATGAGTAAGACACCTTCAAACTTAAGCTGATTAAAAACTAGAGCCAATTAAAAATTTTCAAGATCAAATTCGGGCTCTATGGGACAAATCCTATAAGGATCGCCGGTATATTTTATTCAACAAACATTTTGCTGGCCTGTGTTATGTTCTCTTAAATGAAAGTTTGAGCTTCAATTTCAGCCACTTTAAAAATTTCCAGCGCCTCAGATTCATTTAACACAAGTGATCAAAAACAGGCAAAGCAAGAGTAAAAAAAATCGTGTTTACTCGTATAAAAAAACTGTTTCCAATTGCTTTCAGTGTTAGGATTATAATTTTTTGGTTTTGAGTATTAAAGGGCAGTTGTTTAGGCTCCTTCCCTACAGACAGATATATTGCATTAATTTATTGTGTTCAATGAAAGTTTGAGCTTCAATTTCAGCCACTTTAAAAATTTCCAGCGCCTCAGATTCATTTAACACAAGTGATCAAAAACAGGCAAAGCAAGAGTAAAAAAAAATCGTGCTTACTCGTATAAAAAAACTGTTTCCAATTGCTTTCAGTGTTAGGATGATAATTTTTTGGTTTTGAGTATTAAAGGGCAGTGTTTAGGCTTTCATATCCTTCCCTACAGACAGATATATTGCATTAATTTATTGTGTTACAGAGGCTCGAAAATGCCCAAAAATGCGTTTTACGGCACCTTTGAACCTAAGTTGCTCGAAAACTAGAGCCAATCCAATATCTTTACGGTCAGATTCGGACTCTACGAGAAAAATTCTATAAGAATCAACTACAATATTTTGCGGAACATAACTTTGTTGAGCAGTGTTACCGATCTGTTCACCGTTTTTCCAGATCAGGTCATTTCCCAAGAAATTTTCATTTTTATGAAAAAAAATATTCGAACTTTATCAAAGAAAACAAGCAAAAAAAACAAAATCGATTTCAAATCTCATATACAAATTTAAGATTATCTTTCATTTCTTCATGATCCCATGGTCGGATTTAAAACAAATTAA